TCCACACCCCTCTCCCCCCTCTTCCTCCCTTCCCCACCCCCCTACTCCCCCCTTCACCTCCTTCCCCTTCCGCTCGCGATTTTTGTTTTCTCTTACTTTTGCTGTGCAGGAATTTTTTGGGGTAATTGCTGATTTGCAACCATTCCCGTGAGATTCAAATGACAAAGACCCAGGCAGCCATTGTTGACCGTCCACAGGATTAGATTTGGGGCTATCGACGCGAATGTTGCAAATGAATCCGCCCTGAAATAACACGATTGTGTTAAAAAATTATGCGCAATTAAATCTGAAGCGTTATCACTGTATTAGAAGAATTAATAAATAAAAGATCAGTAAATCCACTGGTTCTTATTTCAATCTCGCGTCCTCTTCAAGGAATATTTATACCCACTTCCAGTCTCTCCAGTTCAAACCATCAGCGTGAGAGAGAGCGCGCTCCCATGATGATACAAGCCAATTCAAGGTTGGATTCGTGACAATTTCTGTACCAACCCCCCCCAGGGGGGGCCCTCCTTAATTCCATATAGTTGGCAAACGTTGCTGGAGGAATCAGCATTAATCTTGATCTTGAGTGTGTAAATGGTTTTTTAACCGCGATGACTGAGAGAGGGAGTCACCAGCAGTCCCTGGGATATTAAATGGAGAATCGGGCAAACGTTATCAAGTAATGAGTGATGAAATCACAAAACAAGTGTATTCTACATTACTATATTTATTCCCGTTATGTACTTACTTATATCCGTTTCGAGGGCCACTTAGGTTTTTTCAGTCTCTGAACTGTAAAGTGTTTTTACCGCACTCGTTAAATAAAGTTGTTATGTTATTATTATTATATTATTTATTTGAATTTGTACTGTGGAAGACTCGAAGTCTTGATGAGTTATTGCACGAGTTGTCTAGAATAAAAAAAGTCATGTATAACCTTACAAACGGACCCATGAAATATCTTAGCTCTAAGGATATAATATCAAGGATAATATACTACGAAATGATTAGTTGTTGTGCACATTGGCGGGCAAGTGAAACACTTGGATTTTCTCGCCACCATGTAATAACCTTTTCTTATTTATGGTAACAGATTAAAATTTGAATGAAGAATTAAGAAATTAAATTACCTGTATATGAACCGAGGATGAGCTGGTACTTGTCATTCTCATTCTCAACACCAAACATGTTATACTCGGCATAACGAGTATTCCCCTCAAAGTCTTCCAAGTCCACACGCAGCATGCTGCCATTGTCTGAGGTCAGGCGGTGAATATTGTCCAGTCCCAGCCAAAATTCACCTCTCAGATCCACCGAAGCCATGTTTGTAGTCGCTCCAGTTGAGGTAAAAATCAACCGAGCCGTCCAGTCTCTTCTGGAACACTGTCCAGCCCCCGCCTGCTGTTGTTTGGTCACAAAACACATCAACAGCCAGGCAAATTTTCATGTTTGATGGTGTACGCACCGTCTTTCCTTTCACCAGATTTGTAGATTTCAGCGCAATTTCTGTAAGCTGCACACAAGAGGGAAAAATATCTTCAATAAATTATACGCAGATTTTGGTTCCCGCGGGAGGTTTGTTTCAAATAGCAGTTATTACAGTTGACCCGCAGTCAAATGTTCTTTTGTTTTTAAAAAGTATGCAAACGAGTTAGGCTCGATTTCCGCCACTCTCTCGAGTCCGGTCTTCGTCCTGGCTCATTTTCCCGAAAAGCGGCTGGTAATCGAGCCTACAAATGAGGCTAATGGGCCAATACAATGCCAGATTGACCCTTTCGCTTCGTTTGCATGTCAAACCGCTGACCGGTCTGTAATAACTGCTATTATATTTAACAATTATTCCCGAAGGCGAAATGAATATTGGGTGAATATTTACCGAGCCGAAGTCGAGGTAAATATTCATCGCTGAGGCGAATAATTGTTTTACAGTGGAACATCGATATAACGATACTCGATATAACGATTGTTCCCGGTATAGACGATCAACATTTGACAGCCCGGCAAATGTTACAGTAGATGTATGGAGAAAACTCCCGATATAACAATACTCGATATAACGATATTCTCGATATAACGATCACAATATGGCAGCCCAAACGTAAAATATACCCCGATATAACGATAAAATCAATCATCGCGCGATGAAAAAGGAGTCTTAACAATTGAAAAAGATATGACAATACTCCCGGGCAATACTTTTCCTTTATCATTTAGTTCTCATTGCATAAGGACTGTAACGTGTATGTCAACAGCTTGTTACGACAGGGATTTATACAGTTACATGACAAATCAATTATTAACAATACACCGATATATAACGATATTTTTGGCTCTTTTCCCGAAAAATCGTTATATCGGGAATTCGATATTACGATTTCCCGATATAACGATCTAATTCGGTCAGTCCCTTGGCACATCGTTATATCGAGGTTCCACTGTAGTATAATTTTTCTGAGCTGAATATCAAGAACTTCAAAAAAAATGGAAAACAACGCACAACATGAGTATCCGACCTGGGCTTGACTGGTTACATTCAATTGCGAATCAATTTACACATCAGTTTTAGCCGTGAAATTATTAAAGAAACATAACGAAAAAAGACATTCATCAGGTACCTTTGATCGTTGGTGGACTTCATGAGAAATTGTAGGTATCGTCTGGAAATCAGTAGCTTCGGTAAATTTCAATACGATTTTTAAATGCCTTGAAAACCACTCAGTTCTTGAAAAGATTTTTGGCCAACGTCCTTCGTGTCATTTTCCTAACCCCCCAGTACTTTGAATATACAGGAGTTTGAGTGATGTCTTCAGAATAAATGAAAATTTTCATTCAAAAACCAGCCGCCATGTTTACTTGCCAGCATACATAAAGCAGATGTGGCTTAGCTTAGCAACCGCGCCATAAGTTCTATTATATTATGGCAATTCAACTCACTATCTCTTTTCTGATTGCCGAAAGCGTACAGTGAATTTTCGAAATCAACGCCTTTGAAAACATCTACGTCATATACCTACAGATTAGCGAGAGGATCACGGGTAATAACCTGTCAGATTATACAATAATCATGTCAATGATACTCAAGGTCACGGGTAATCATGTTATCTATGCCTGCGGTACATGATTTCCAAGGGTAATCATGTCAAGTTCGCGCGCTTTGCGTTGCTTTGCCGCCTAGTAACATCGGTGGCAGAAGCGTATTCTATAATGAAAACAATTATTAGATTCGGTTTTTTGTGATTATATATATATAATCAAGTCGAGGTAAGAGTTATCAGCCGAAGTTATCACACAAAACCTCATCCAATAATTGTTAATAATTATCTCACGGGAGGTGATTGTAGGCGTCATAACCCGAGTTTCTCGACCAATCAGAATATCGGATTCTTATATTCAGCTCTGAACATTATTCTTGGTTTTCACTGTCACGACATCAATAAAAAAAAATCGAAACCGCTCAATGAATGAAGTCAAGGAATTGACATGTGATAGATAATAAATAAATAAGGAATCAGTCCAAGTCTCAGGTCGGTGCGGTATTCCGTACTCGAGTTATTTGTCAAAATGTTCCACACAAATTTATAGAAATCAGTATGGAGACCGGCCGGCCGGAAATAGGAAAATAGGAAATAGGAAAAAACATCTGGAGTTCACTTTTGCCAGAAAGGAGGTTTGTTTTCTCTTGTGAACTTCCGAATATTTAGATCAATATTTCTCTTTAAACTTAAATTGTTTAGAATGCTGAAAATCACCCGAAGAGTGACTTTTTAGATACGGAACAGCTCTGTCACGGCCGTCCTCCTGATGTCAGGAAATTTAAACTGTTCTATTTTCAAAAGGAAGCATGATATCGAGCTAAGAAATTGTAAAAAGTTATATATTTAGGTAATATTTCCCGCCAATGAAGGTAAAAATTATGTAGGCCTCGCGGTTTTGAATTTTAGAATTTGATGACGTCACGTGAAAACCAAGAATACTAATATTTGATATTCACTCCCAAGCGAATCAAATAAAACTGGATTTCCGTTTTACCTCGGTGACCGAATCGTGACTTCCGGTAATAGCATTCATCGATATATACACAGATTACAAAGTATATACAAGGCGCACTACACAGTTTTAACGCTATCAATTCCAATTATTAGTTGCCTCGATACTAAAATAAATTCAATCAAGAGAATATGAAGGTTAAGAGAGTCCCATACATGGGTCATTTCTATGATAATTCCTCTGATGCTATTTTTAGATCAAAATTTGTCTTCGAAATGATGAAATCATATATGTGAACTGCAGAAATGAAATGAAATAAATAAGTGATCATCGCTCCCAATGTGTGGCTTCATAGCTCAGTTGGCAGAGCATAACGCTAGTAACGTGGAGGTCATGGGTTCAAATCCCCGTTGAAGCCTGAAATGTTTTTTCTGGCTTATTTTGCAATTGGCAAAAATTGCATTATTAACTGCGATTGATCACTTAGGGCCTAGGTTTATATGAGAAAAGTTGTCCCTGGTAGGAGGGTCACCTTCCATAACGAGGTACCCCGGGCGAGATAACTTTTCATACATTTCTTTATAAATAGCAGCGAACCGTTTACATGAGAAATCGAAAAGTTGGCTCGGGGGGCAGGGTGACCCTGGGTGGAGGGTCACTCGCTTTGAAGGTAGGGTGACCCAGTGGGGCGCGCCAACTTTTTTCCATATAAACACTTTGGCTATTGTTGTTTCACCTACCAGGGACAAGTCGGGACATATAGAGCATGCGCAAGCGCCGAGAGGGCCACGTTTTGGCTCGGTAAACAGGTACAACGTTTTTCATATATACGCTCGGTAAAATATGGCTCGGGGAGGAGGGTAACCCTCCTTCCAGGGACAACTTAATTCTCCATGTAAATAGGCCCTTATTCATTTAATTTCATTCATATATTCACTATCACATTCATTTATATCACGGGTCTATAAACTCAACTCCAAATGTTCCAAATGCGTGGCTTCATAGCTCAGTTGGCAGAGCATCGCACTGGTAACGCGGAGGTCATGGGTTCAAAATTCTGTTGAAGGCCAGGAATTTTTTTTTTTGGCTTATATTTCAATTGCAAAAATTGCATTGGATATTAACTGCGATGATCACTTATTCATTTAAATTGTTAGTGTAACGAATTTGTGCAGATTTGTATTGGTTTCCAGATTATCCCGTAAATTGTTTTCAGGCTTTCTTTATTATAGTGCTCGTTCAGTTGCATTTGTTGTACATTTACAAGCATTTCCCATTAAATATTTCGTTCCAAGCTTTGCTGCATTTTCTAGCAGTTTTGTTACTTCGTCTTCAGTCAATTTCTGTCGTGAAACAATTTTCTCCGGCGGCCATATTTGTTCCTTGGAGAGAGAAACAAATTCAGCTCTCTTTCTCGCTGACGCGTTCATATTTGTCGGGAATGGTACAATGGCTCAGATCCAATGGCCTCTAAGCCAATCAAAACTCTAGAAATGCATTCTCCAATGGTTCAGTTTTTTAATAAATATAGTTATTTGATTGGCTATTGACTAACTCCTAGCTGATCTAAAAATAGCATCAGAGGAATTATCATAGAAATTACCCATGTATGGGGACATTACCTCTCCGTTACCCTTCATATTCTCTTGATTCAATGTACCTGAACACGAGCGTCCATCTCCAGAAAATCCTTCCTTACAAGTACAGTCATGTGACCCAACAGTGTTGGTACAGTTGGCATTCACGTCACAATTATGGCTGCCGGTAATGCATTCATCGATATCTAGATATCAAGCGATAGAACGAAAACATATTTTAAACTTTTAAAACTGAAGAACTCCACTGACGAAATGTCGGGAGTTTAATTTCAAGCAAACAATTAACAGCCAACAACAAAGCAAAGTTTAAATAGAAACTAATTCTGACAAACCTTCCAAGTTCATGTCACAATAAACTAAAACTGCCGTTCCAGTCCCATTTGGATCCAGCCAGTACTTGTTGCTAATGGTGTCCTTGCCTTCGCTGGCCTTTATTTCTTGGCACGACTGGGCTGGTAGCTCCGGAATGGAACCAAGAGGAGCTGTGATAGAAAATGGAAAAAACAATATTTTATTTTATTTCACAGTCAAGAAATTGTGATTGTAGACAGTTGTGTATAATTGGATGAGAAAGGGTAGTATATGATATTATATGATGAAAGCCTGGAAGTTATCTCAAGGCAACAACGGGAATCAAACGACACCAACTGAGCTATGAAGCCTTGATAAGTTGGGAGATGGTCAATTGTGGGTTATAATATCCCGCATATGGAAGACTGTGTATTTAAACTGCGGTTTTAAACATTAAACGATTTCGCAGTGTGTAAAAATTCTAGGCTACAACGAGAATTGAACCCATGGCCTAGAGCTGCGATACCGTTTCGTGTATAATAAACAGTCAAATAATGAACACATTTTAATACACATACCCCTGTCAGTCAAGAGTCTGATGTAAAACCGTGCAGGATCTGAGCGGAAATTCTCGAGTCTTGCCTCCTTGGTGCGGTTGTTCAGTTCGCAGGACTTTGACCCTATGACGTAGTTATAGCTCTGACAGGTTACTTCTCTCTCGCAGCTTATATCGCACTCGTGAGGGGCTGTTACGGGGAATTTTTTAAAGACAAATCCCTGAAGAGCCATCCCATGTATGCTTCTTTCTTGTCTGCATTGCTTACCAGCAGATACACTGTCCATGAAGAAGCCAGCGAAGAAGAAACACGCAACTGCGCCCCACATTTTGCCAAGTATTTTCATCTGGAGAAAAACGAGCGTATTTAGTAAACAACATGAACGCTTCAACTACCGCGTGGCGTGCAATTTTTGCAGGAGTTTTATTTTGCAAATTGGCGATTTTTTTATGTTTCACTGGATAATTTTTGCTATTTGGAGAAAGTGATTTCTTGCGGGGAATTATTTTTTGCGATTCTCAGTAAGATAATTTGTTCCCATCTGTACGATTGATTTTTACAATAGATGAATCCATCTATTATCGAAAATGGATCGAGGAAATGCGGGAAACAGATGTGGCCGCCCTTCTAACGGAAACCAATTCTTGGTTTTCACGTGACGTCATCAAATTCTAAAATTCAAAACCGCGAGGCCTACAGAATGTTTACCTTCATTCAAGGAAATATTACCTAAATATATATATTTTCACAATTTCTTAGCTCGATCTCATGCTTCCTTTTGAAAATAGAACGGTTTAAATTTCCGAGTTTTCATCGTACGTGACATCAGCAGGACGGCCGTGACAGAGCTGTTCCGTATCTAAAACATGACTCTTCGGGTGATTTTCAGCATTCTAAACAATTTAAGTTTAAGGAGAAATATTTATCTAAATATTCGAAAGTTCACAAGAGAAAAACAAGCCTCCTTTCTGGAAAAAGTGAACTCCAGATGTTTTTTTCCTATTTCCGGCCATGTTGGAGCCCCTCAGAGGGACTCCAACATGGCGTTTCCATGCTGAGCTCTATAAATTTGTGTGGAACATTTTGACAAATAACTCGAGTACGGAATACCGCACAGACCTGAGACTTGGACTGATTCCTTATTTATTCATTATCTATGACATGTCAATTCCTTGACTTCATTCATTGAACGGTTTCGATATTTTTTATTTATGGCGTGACAGTGAAAACCGAGATATGATAGAGTTTCTTTAAAAACTTTGTCATATGATCTTTCACAAATATACATTTGTTCCTAAGGGAGAGAGACGCTATAAATGCTTTCAACGGTGATAATGATGAGTGGAGTAAGTTTTCGCCTAAATGTTTGCGGATACTGATTAATTTTTGGAGGTATTGCGGATCGTCAAAAACACCGCAAAAATGTCATGCCACACTCTCTGTAAAATAAAAAATAAAAACTAAGAACATATACGTACCAGAATAACTACAACATAATAAAACTGGATCTCCAAGTAAGCGCTTGCCGTTATACCGTTTGGGCACGTATATATAACATCAAATGTAAAACACCCAAGTGTCTCACTCAGTATATATAGTCTTCACTTTTGACAGGAAGAACTCAAACTACAGCAGGTTCTTGTTTTAAGCCAGGGAAATGTCAAACTATAGCACGTATTAGGAGTGTCAATGAAATATTCAGTAACATTCAATGTCTAGTTAATCAATGAGTTAGTGATACATAACCTAACGGTCCAATGTGTTATGCTAAATTTTTACTGCTTCTTTACAAGTAGAAAAACTTATAATTGGCCAACTGATTAGATTCGTACATGAGGTGAACGTTTGGAACATAATTATAAAATATCGCGGTAACATTATTACAACTGTTTACATATACAAGTTTCAGCCAGAGCATATATTTATTACTTTTGACGGGAGGAAGTCAAACTACAACATAAATTAAACTAAATAAATTAAATATTTATAATGGTTTAATATCTAGTATTGTCAAATTAAGGTGTCTGGGCCAAATATCTATATCTTCTCTCCAAGTTGAAAACTAAGAATTAAGTGGGCAAATTATCACCGAAAGTAGGTGATCGTTTTTAAAACTGATTAAATTTTGTTGAATCCTGATTATTCAACATTTCCCCGATGTTTATTTTTTTACTTTAAAGTTGCCCAATTTCCCTGCAAGCTAAATACATAAATGGCTGGCGTCTATCCCATGCTCAAATACTCTCGAATACATTAACAATTTACTGCACTTTAAATTCCAGGACCAAACATCGTCTTCAAAGGAATTTGTGTTACTTAATATTCATCTGCACGTTAGAGCATGCAGGATGAAAACAATTTAACAAAACGTTGTAACTTAATTACCCTAGAAAACATCCGTGGTTCAATTATTCCATTACATGACATATTGTGTCATCTGTGAATATTTAATTCATTTGTTTTTCCAAAGTATTCTGCTTGGAGAACGGAAAACAGAACACCATGTGAAGAAAGTTTGTTAATATTTTGCTCACGGACGTTTCTAACGGTAAGTATTGTCTCCAAAGCTCTAATAAACGTTATTTACCATTTAGCAATATACGTTTCATAATTAATAATGTTTCAACGCATACATGAAGACGCATGTACCTGTCAACGCCATTTTGCAAGTGTTTTAGCTAAAAAGATGTATTCAGCAAGTCCTGCATTATAATTTTCTTTTTTTATGAATTATCTGGGCTTTCGAGGAGCTTAATAGCGTAGAATGATTGAAATTATAGCAACTTTTAGGGTAAATTACGCGACCTCCAGCACAACATTTTTCCATTTTTTTCAAATAAGCGAATTTTTTGATCCCCCAAAAAGCCGATAACCTCCTCCCTCTCCCCCTCGGGGGAGGTATTGTTTCATTTGTGGAGGAGCTTTTAAAAAAAATAGAGAAAGTTTTATAAGAACAGATCGTGCTTATTTCAA